CAAGTATCGTGTACATCTTTAAAATTGTGTTTACATTGAGCAAATCATTTAACAATTTGCAATTATTAACTGTTGCCTGAGTTCGCATGAATACTTAATCCCTTTCGTACCAGCAGCAGCACAGCATTCTTAGCTTGGCTTAATGAAATACAATTTGTATGTAGATATTTATAATTTACATAATTTCAAGGCGTTTCGCAACATCAATGCCACATGTAAACAAGTGAATTTACTTAACTTATATTTGCATTTTTCTTGTCTTTACTTAAGGATATTTGCTGTGCACTGCTGGCAGCCCGCGCATTTGCATGTGTGTGTGCGCATGTATCTCTTAATTGCATAATTCATAACGAAATATTGTAGAAATCAATTACAAAACAATTTTCAACATACATTTTTGTCTGTGTGTATGTGTATGCGTGACCCAATAGGAAATATTGAGTTAATGAATTGATTGCTGCACGAAGGAGATAACACTTATAATAATATAAACGTACGAAATAGTTTGGGTTTAGTAGCATATACAAGGGATGGTGTGAAAATTAGCTTATACGCGTGGATATATGCAAATAGAGCCGTGGTGGCCATTTGGCCAACATTTTGTCAAATCATAAATGGCATAAAATTATCCACTTAACAAAAAAAAAGAAACTGTTTAAATCAAATTTGAGTATTTTATTTCATTTTACCAACATGTCGTTCTTGCTTGTGAACCCCAAATATATGTATATATATATATATTTATTTCTTAATCTAGTGGAAAATCTTATTATCTTTGAAATTATATATGTGTTATCATGATATTCCATACCTAATACATTTTTGCTGAATTTCCAATTGCGCTGCATACCTTAGCAGCCCTTTTTTTCCAACAATTTTAATATGCATTTACATACTCTGTCAAAACAATCAATTTTAATTGAATTGTGCGCAATTTGACATTGTTTTGTTTAGCTTACATATAGGCAGTTAGATATGTGCCGGATTTTCCTTTTGGTATATGGAAAAATAATCAATTAAATAACGAAAATTTTGTAATGTAAATTAACGTAAAACAAAAGTGTATTTACTTTTTTCCTTTATTTACGTACAGCTGTTTAAATATGTTAAAATTTATTTGACACAACAATTTTAGTAATCACTGAGTCGTAAGAAGGAGTTATGAATTTCTTCGATTTTCTTAAAGTTTAAAATAAGTTATCAAACTTTTTACTTTAACAAATTGTTGTATCGTGAGTACAACAATTTTGCTCTATTAACAGGTTTTTATAAAACTATTTAAATATATATAGAATATAATACCAATATGAACTGATAACGCTGATATTGCCTAAAACTATGCTAAATCTGACCATAACCATGCCTACTTTATGACAGCACTATGAATTCGAACAGAAGCATTAGGCGCACACCTAGAGTGAAATTAAAGAAAATTAATTGTTTCATATTCCGATAATACCGTTAAAAGTTGTATCAAAATTTTGTGTAATATTTAACTTTTATTTAACACGCTGCCAGTTTTTTGGCAGTGTTTGGCATGGTGTTTCAGGTTTCTACCACGCAGAAGGCCGGAATAACCGAACCAGCTGAGGGCCGCCGGAAATCGCACTTACGAGGATTTGTGACTAAAAATATAGGTATCCAACTATACCAACTCGCTGATCTTTATAATAAATATTTATGGTTTATACGGTATTATAATGAAAAATGTCTTATTTGATTTCATTGCTTTTATAACGGTTTTTAGTCAATCACACTTTATCCTTGAAGTGAAGAAGTATTTTGAAAAGATTAAATATGGTGTGAGTGTGTTTAGTGGCTTGCATATAACTAACGTAATATAATATAAAAAGAAAACTTACAAATTGATGTATTATATAAATCCCTATGCATATTAATGTAAATATAATATATTACCTTAGTCCACACAAACGCTTAAAGCTAAGGCTATCAAAAACTTCCAACTTTGTCTCCTTATCTGCAAATAAAAGTTGTCAGCAAGTTTAAAATAAAAACGGTACTTTCATATAAGCTTGCTAAAAATAACTACCTTTTGCCTCTACCACCATATGCCACTCCCATGATTGCTTGCTGCCTTTTGCTTTCTAGTTCAGCATTTCTGTTTTATCACACTGCTGGGCATGCAGGCGAAGCCATTGCAAATTAATATGTTACTTAATATGATATTTTGCTGTCGCAAGAAATTGTCCAACCGTTACTCAGTATGCCTACCATATGTGAGCGAAAAAGGGAAAGAGTGAAAAGCTGTGCAAGAGGCAGACCGAGGACGACAGCATACCTTTGATGGTAGCATGTTGCTCTCAAATGTGTATTTGCAGCAGCACAAGTTTATTTTGCGGAAAATTTGCTTAAAATCTAGAAACAATAGAGCCGATTGTGTGTGTGTGCATATTGATTTTTTTATATTTATTTTATTTGCTTTATAGGCGGCACATTTCCGGCAAAAATATTACAATTATGCATGCATAGCTGACTCCATTGCATTACATGCTTACATAAAATATTATTTTCTACCATATTTGTCTTTCATATATACACATGTAGCTATCGAATTCTACATGCTTTGCTTCAGGGCGAAATAAGAGACATGTTTTGGAATAACAAATTTCAGAGGTAAGTTTAGGAATAATGTGGCGATATATTTTGTGGAGTGTACTAAATTATAATATGGTTTAGTATTGTATATATGTTATGCGACATATTTAAATATATACATATATTTTTAGATAATAAAATTTGATTATAAGGAAAACATGTTTACAAGCGAGTTTCGTTGTATAGAATTTCTAATCGAATAAATTCAACATTTGTTTACAAGCATCAATGATTGGTTTGTATTGCTAAAATTTCTATTTATATTTTCTAACTTTCTAAAAATTTCCAGGTAGTAAATTTGTAAATAATCAGTTAATATTGCTTCTCTTTGCTGTTGGTAAAGAAAAATAGGCAGTAGAAAGTGGTGACTTTGCATTGGTGTGGCAACTCCATTAGATATGATATAAATATTTTATGCCAGTTGACATTATTCTCAGTTATGTCAAACTTAACCTGCGCACGCACTGGCTCGCTATTTATCGTGCCAGCTGACACTTGCTTTATACAGCTGTTAATGTGGGCGGTACATATAACTGAAATTAACAACCGAAAGGCGTGTCACCGTCAAAGATTTTCTTTATCATTTTTCTTATCAGTGCTTGATTGGATAAGACGCTGAGCAACTTTTATCCAATTTTAACAAACCGTAATTTATAGAGTATTAGCTTCCTTTCGTTAAATTGAAAAACGAAATTAGTTTTATAATCATGCAGAAAATACATTATTCTCACTTTCAAAGTGCTACTAAGAACTCCCACATTAAGTTTGAAAGTATTACTGTATGCAGTGATATCTAGTTCTAGGTTGGGAATTTGCATAAAATGTTTGTCCTCAGAGCTCTATCGTAAACTGATGAAAGTTGAAAGCAATAGCTTCTATCATCTTATCACGATCGTCTTATTTTCAATAACAGATTGGTAATAAAAGCCAAATTTGGTTCAAATTGGATTCCGTCACAATGACTATCTCTTCATCGTCTTTAAATTTCTTTCCAGTGAGCATTTTCTTGAGCAGTTAGGTGTTTTGATTAATTGTGAGTTTTCGAGGTAAGTAGGCGGGCATAGTAGCTTTCGTATAGCCAATTCTAACAAAGTGTCCGACAGAATAACGTTTTGTGAAACTGTACGTCAGTAAGTGAATTTGTGATTCTCACACACCAGTCGGATTGTTCATTAAATTTTTAAAAAATTCAAAAGCAAAATGGAAATAAAGAATTCCGCGCTACGGAAATAATATAAAATTCGTTGAAAAATATATTTATGCATTTGTTGTCGCAACTAATATTGTATATTCTGCTGTATTATAAATAAACATGCTTACGTATTTATACACTAACATATGCAAATACAATTGTTCGATATTTTAGTGGAAACACGCGTCAGTAAGTGCATTAAATTTTTGAAGTATCTAAGGCTTGGACCCAGTCAGTTTGCAGCTGTGGATTAATTTGGACAATAAATATTTAAGGTCTTCGGCGTAGTTAAGTCAGATGGAAAGCAGCGATGCGGCACTAAACTCAAGAGAAGTGTTAATAAATAGTGAAAATCACTTAAGATATTAAGGAAATAAAAAGTAATATTATGCAAATGTAAGTATACCATACTTCCAAGCAAGTGAACTGTGAAAGTGTAGGGCGTATGTGAGTGTAATACCTAAAATCAATAAATGCGCAGAAATATCAATAAAAACGGCTAAGTAACTTTAATCCCCGTTGGTGGTCACATATGCTGTTGTGCACAAAAAAATTCATAAGCATTTTGTACTTGAAGTATTTATGTATAATTTGGCTAACCATTTCCGATGGAATTTGTTTGCACAGAAGTTTTTTTTTTTTTTAAATTTTATCTACTGAAATGTGTTATTCCAAGTCCAAGTGATGCTCTGCAAAACAAAAATATCAACATCAAGGTGTGAGAGTAGACAAAAGTATTTAGATCGGCAGACGAATTGTCAAGCTTTATTTATGCCGTCTGCAAAAAAAAAGTGCAGAGACCGCTATGCCCGTTTACAAATCTGCCTCGCTTGGCATGCTTTAGTAAACTACTGTAACCGATACAGCATCGCTTTAAGAGCAAAGTGAAAGCTATATCTGTAGAGAAATATAAATAATTTAATAAATTAAAAAGTCAGAACAAACAAAACTATGTTTAACACAGCGAAAGATAACATATGTGTAACTAAAAGCCGTGAGAGGGCTTCTTATCAGTTATTTAGTAATTGGTTGTGGTGTAAAGCATTTGTCGGTAAGTGCTAACTGCTTGTAGCGCAATTGTAACTTTTAGATACGGAACAGGAAATCTCAAGTGCTTTTCCGGCATTATTTTACTAAATTAACAGTAATTAGTGGCTGTGTAGCTGATTGGTGCGGCATATAAAAATAGTCGCTTACTTTACGTACTGTCAGTATCCGAAATAAGGTTCATTCATCACAACCGATTCGGCAAATAGAGTAGTGCAAAGATGAGTCCACGTAAGTTCTCTTCGAATTGCGCTATCTAAAGTCCTACGTATATAACAGCAAATAACGCCTTGATTTTTCAGTTTACTTTCTACTGCTAGTATTTGCTGTGGGTCCACAATCACTTACGGCATGTACTGATCGTAGCGAGCCGGATTGTTCACTCCATCAGAGTGGGCATATCCTGCCGGACGAACATAGCTGCTATCGCTACTATGTCTGCAGACGTGGCAGAGCTATATCGCGCAGATGTCGCAGAGGATTGCAGTTTGATTGTGAAACGAATGTCTGTACATTCCCTGAATTTGCTAAGTGTTACATTCATCGGCATAAGGATGATGGAGAGAAAGAGCATCCGATTCATTGGCCGGAACCATTTGAAGGCTCGCCATCGTGTGACACAACAACGCCAACACCTTGTGTTACCACGCCCCCATGTGTTACAACACCACGATGTGACACACCAACACCAACACCAACACCTTGTGTTACCACGCCACCATGTGTTACAACACCACGATGTGACACACCAACACCAACACCTTGTGCTACGCCGAAACCAACCACCACCACTTCCAAAACAACAAAGTCAACCACAACCAAAAGCCCAACTACAAAATCGACAACCACAAGGACCACAAGGACTACAACAACACCGTGCAAAACAGAAACAACTACGCAGAGAGAGATAACGTCGTGTCGAAGGCCGGTGAATCGTCCCAAACAGTGGCCAAGCGGGATTGACGGCCAGGAAGGTTTTGCTGTGTGTTGGTGGGATTGGTAGGGAATCATCCACTATGAGCTGCTCCCATTGGCCAGATGCTTAATTCTACCATTTACTGCGAACAACTAGACCGCTTGAAGCAGGCGATCGACCAGAAGCGTCCAGAATTGGCCAACAGGAAGGTGTGTGTTCCACCAGGACAACGCCAGACACAACCTTCGTTGATGACTCGTCAGAAGCTCGGAGCTCGGATGGGAGGTTTATCGCATCCACCATATAGCCCGGACGTAGCGCCAAGTGATTACCACCTTTTCCTGTCCATGGCGAATGCCCTGGTGGTGTGAAGTTGAACTCAAAAGAGGCTTGTGAAAAGTGGCTGTCCGAATTCTTCGCAAATA